AGCCAAACCATTCGTGGTACAATTATAATATAGCTGCAGTACGGGTCCGCCACGTGTTAGCCGTGAGATTTTACTGGCATTAGTCGTCTTTTACGACAACTTCGGAACGATATAGTTTCTCTTAGGCCGGTACCAGAAGCCACTTCACCTTGGGTACAATACACTAGAAATACAACAATAAAAATATATCGTTAAGTTGGCTTATTAATCTCACGATCTAAATCACTGTTGTCTTATGGATTAATCCCACAAGAATAAATTTTATTTTATTAATATCCATTGTAGTACACAATGCGAAAATGTTCCGTATTAGATATATATCTACGAACAATTACATTACAAATAATTCCACATAATCATACTGACTTAGAAATAAGAAAAAAAGTCATGGTTAGAGATAAGATACAAAGTTATAAAAGATCACTTGTTAATTAATTATTGTATTACCTAATCGAGAAGTTATAATCATTTAACTCGAATTTAACAATATTGTTGCAAAAGAGTGCATAGCATACGTGATGGTGAATGAAGAAGGACGATGTTAAGGATGTCATTTGTTAAAAAAATGCTGGAATTGTGCACGATTTTGATAAACCAAGCCGAAAGTATGAACTCTACGAAACTTACCTTAGGAAGTGTATAAGAACTTCAGCTGATTATTAACCAGTAAATTTCACCATGAGCGGAATTTTCTTCGATAAAGTACAGTGGGTGATAAAAAGCCAGACATTTAATCGACAGCGTGCTCGTACTACCTGTGGAGCACAAGATGGTATTTTAGTCCGCTCTAAGCGTACCATATCACGTAACGTGAAGATCAATGAATTGCGTAAGGTCGTGTGTCTGTCCTGCGGCAAAATTATATAAGCGTGACGGTAAGAAACGTAAAGAAACTTACATGATCCAGGAGATTTGTGTCATATAGTTCATTGCTGAAATAAAAAGCATGAAAAAATTTAAAACTTGGGCCAAAAGGTCCAAGATCTGCTACATTTGAAAAGGATGAAGGAAGAATGTGTTCTTTATGACGCTAAGGACGTGGACCACTAAAACATTTGACCTTTGATCCAAGTACGCATTCATTGACCACTGTCAAAAATCCACCAGAATCGCTTTATAATTAAAAATCCTGTAACTTCCTGCTCCATGTTCGAGTTTATAACATTAAATATAAATTTAAATTGCTTCATTTGGAGCTCACCAAATTAGTAAGTGTACAACTTTTCATACTGGCATTAAATGTACAAATATAGCTATTTCTTTTATCGGTAGTCTATTACTTACGGCTGTAATTTTTACAAATTGATAGTCAACTAGTAAGCTGAGCCAGTTAATATGTGATGCCGCCACATTTAACACGTAAAAAGTATTACATAATTATTATCGTTATTTTTTATAGACTATCGGTGATAAACATACAGCCCACCTGATGTTAAGTGGATACTGTGGCTTACAGACATCTACATCTATCCTCGAATAATATTCAAAAATGCAGATGCGTTGTCCACCCATAAAAATATATTAACGCGTAAAAACGACGTAAGTATTTTTTTAATAGGGTAGAGTGACAAGCGAGCACACATCCCACCTGATGGTAAGTGGTTGCTGTGGCCCATAGGCATCTACATCAATCCTCGTTTGCGAATCAAAATGCAGATGCGTTGGACTAAGATGGAATGCCTCTTTTCCAGTAAAAAGGGAGCATAAATAGATCCACTACCTCATATCATCCCGTGGGTATTGTACGAGGCGATAAAGGGAAATCAAACAAAAGATAAGCAGCAGCGTCTTCCTCATAACTCAAAATAATTAAATATACGGTTACCAAGTTTCTTTACTCACGTGACCAAGGCGTAGGCCAAGCGTGACAACTATAGTAAAATGTATCTATTAGGCAATCTATGGGGAGACCTACGTTCAGCAGTTGACTTTTGATAGGGTGTTAAGAATTAATGAAAAGGGGGAAACCCAGGTAAAACATTACCTAAAAAATTCTAAATAAAAAATAACACGTGTCTTGAAAAAGGTCATGGAATATGTACGTCTGTTTCTGTTCTCTTGAGATATTTGTGAAACTGTGAGCTAGGTATATTTTATTGTATATACATGTGTGTGTATACAATAAAATAAGAAAAATAATCTACTTCAATAATATTTTCGTATGTGCGAATGCTTAACATGTATGTAATTAATGTTAATCCATAACTTACAGATTCATATCAGACACATTCACGCGTTCAACAGTCGATGTTTTCTATCCCACGGCCCTACTACATTTTAATAGTTTGGGCTTCGATTTAAAATATAGTTAATGATTTGTTATATTTACGCAAACACTACACATTTAAATAAAACTAGTTTTTACGATTCTATCGCGTATGTTTTTATATTCCCTACGTTTTGTGCACTTTACAGCACCCATGCCCTCAGTGCTAACGGTCAGTGCTCGAAACATCAGGAATATAAAATAAGTTAATATACTTATTTGGGAGCTTTGCTCGGCGTTCGAAAAATGACATCTAGATAAACTTGGAAAATAAAACATTATCCAAATACAAAACTTTAACCAAATCGTTAGAGCAGTTTCCAATTTCCAAGAAACCACTGACATCTATACATTGTACATATGTACAAGAATGGCTCACTTAAACTATAAGATAATGTCATAATTGATGAGATAGGAAACAAATCAATCTCAATTCAAGCAACTGTTATTGAAAGTCATTCTCCCCCTTTAGCACTGGTTCGGAAAAACCTATATGCTGGGAAGAAACATCAAGAAATCCAGCTAATTTTTTTAATTTATTATTTTATAAGTGTGAGACTGTGAGAGCAACTTTAAGCATTTTTAATGGATGTCAACTTTCATAAGTAAATCTGTCTATCAATAACCCAGTGTTTAACTATCTACCTATATGCTGGAACTGGATAGGAAAGTTACTACCAATTTATTCTATAATCAAACAGCCGTTACTCAATATATGATACATATTTTAATAAAAGTCAAATAAATGGTGTAAGTCTACATAATGATCAAACCATAACGCGCTTTTAAATCAATGAGCGACATCTAGTACCACATTAACTAAACCATTTTGACACAAACAAGTCGCTGAGTGACATCTAGTCTAGTGACAAATGAACTAAAGTAAATCGAACAAACACCCAGAAATATAAGAAAAACGTATCATGTTATTATTATAATAGCGCTCGTAACGTGTAAAATTACTTTAAAATAACAACCCATCAACATTTCAATCAAAACCGGACGGCGTGCATAATCTCGTGCATAGTATTTTGACCTCATGAGGTGAGTTCCTTCCTCGTCGGATCACTTTCACGATGCAAAGGTTACGTAAAGACTATAATACAAAGATACAGTCCAGCCGATAAAACAGTCTTGTATTGTATAATCATAATATCTTAGCAATAATTATTTTTCGACACACATCTCATAGTTTCATCATATATACCAAAATCGTGACGGATTTTAGATTTTGTAGTTTATATATTTTTCCTAATTTAAACACCTAATTGTCACTCAACAAAATATTTCACATTCGCAATTTGAATTACTCTTTACAATACACAACTTTATAAGACACAAATGTCCCTGCTAGATGATTTTATACACTGTTGATTTTTTTTTTAATTAAGCATCAAAATCCAGAGGCTTTGTACCCTTGAGAACAAAGATGGAATGCTTCGTTTCAGTAAAAAGGTTCTCTAGACTCGCCATACGAAACACAGCAGGATTAACTTAGTGTTCGCTGTTATTGGTGTTCGAAGCTCAACTTAAATATTTTTTTATAGAATAAGGATGAAAGTCGAACTTTCAAACAACCTGGTGGTAAGTGGATGCTGTTGCCTATAGACATCTACATCTATCCTGAAATAAAAATCAAAATTCACATGCGTTGTAACTACTGAGAATTAAGACGTAATACCTCGTTTCCAGTAAAAAGGATCTCCGGTTCTCTACACTCACCATACGATACAAAGCATCATTAAGCTGCTATTTCACGCTGGTATTCACAATCTTGTTAATGACCAAAAAGTATCGTATCGTATCAATACAAAAACATTTCTTTGTGTTTGATTTGATAAATAACTATTACCGCTCCATATGTTGCGTTTTATTTCCTTCCTTTTTTATTTCGTTCCGGTGGTTGGGAGGATTGTCCATATTATGAGCTACACCGATTGGTAATCTTGACGCCGCTCCATGTTGCCAGGAACGACTACTAGCGCCATCTATTGGAAATCATGAAATCTATCAGGAATTTTCCATAGTCACCTCTTACGCCACCCACTTCAAACGAAGCGTTTCTCTTACACACGGCGTTTTGTTTTAGTATTAACATAACTTTCTCAGTATATCCTTATGGAGTTCCCTTGTAGTAAGTAGTATCCTATTCATGCTTAACAGCCTATGATAGTCCTCAGCTGAATATGGACCTCCTTCACAGGGACTCGCCTTATAGGTGATATTTGCCATAGTTGCCACGGTTGGCAACTAACCGTGATATTGTGTAAGATTATTCAAGTAACTGGAACAGGAGATCGGCAGCAGTATATTCCTTTTTTTTTTCATTTTCATGCTGTTGACATGAATTAACTGTTTTTTCTTTTGTGTCTCTGTCTGTTGTTTGTCTGTATACCTGTTTGACTGTTCAGACTAATCTTCGGTACAGCTGAACCGATTGTAATGAACCTTGACGAACAGGTAGAGAGAAATGTCAGAAATGATCGAGGTTATATTTTACTCGATAACTCGGAGATTTTTTCTGTGGCGGGTCACTAGTTAGGTAATAAAACTAAAGGTTATATAATTAAATAATGATTTTACTATAAAACGACATAACAATAACTTATCATAAAATCTATTTACAAACAAAAAATATAGTTCAACTGTAATACTGGATGACCATCGTTGTTAAGGCTTCTATATGTGAAACTATGACTTAGTTGATTTCAAACAATGTAGGTTTTGCACCTGCTTATTTTCTTTTGTGGTATGGGCCGCCACCGTGGCCTGAGCCGAGCGCATTTATGTAGCTGTCTCCGCCAAAGTCGTGTCCACCTCCGTGACCCCCACCGTGGCTGCCGATGTCAGTCAAGCTTATTGAGGATATTCCACCCCCGTGACCACCTCCGCCTAACCCATTCCCGTGGCCAATACCAAAACTATCGCCGCCGTGGCTCACGCCGAATCCACCGCCGCTGCTGTAACTGTCTCCACCGTGGCTACCATGGCCTCCGCTACTGAACGACTCATGACTAGTTGTAACTGAGTAACTGTCGTGGCCTCCTCCTCCATGACCACCGATACTGTAACTATCGTGACTACCGCCATGGCTGAAATCACCAAGTCCACCAGATCCGTGACTGCCTCCAGACGAAAGGCCAAAACCGTCGCCGCTGTTAAAGCTATCGTGACCACCGGATGAAAATCCTCCACTTATTCCTCCTGAAAATCCACCGCCGCTGTGGTGATCGTGTACTTTGTGACCACCACCGAATCCACCGCCGTGGCCACCTAAGTCATGGCTATCGTGGCCGCCACCGAAGCTGCTGCTGAGTCCACCGCCATGGCCACCTCCAAAGCCACCTCCGAATCCACCACCGATATCACCAGTATGTCCAATTCCATGGCCAATCCCGCCACTATGGTCACCTCCGAAGTCAAAACTGCCTCCGTGACCACCTCCAAAATCGTGTCCTCCAAGACCGCCGCTTAAGTGGCCGCCTCCAATATCATGGCCTCCAATATCATGGCCTCCAAATCCACCACTCCCGTGGTCACTCCCAATGTCATGCCCCCCAAACCCACCACTATGGCCGCCTCCAATGCCACCGATTCCAATGTCTCCATGGCCGTGATCACCTCCAAAATCATGTCCACCGCCGCCGTATCCGCTGCCAATGGAGATACTATGACCATGGCCATGACCGCCGCCAAATCCACCTCCGAAACCACCTCCGAAACCACCTCCTAAACCACCTCCGCCAAAGCCTCCGTGGCCTCCGTGGTCATGCCCCTTTAAGTGGTCTATAAAACCTCCATGTAAGTGATCTGCGAAGCTACTACCGTGGCCACCACCGAAGCCACCGCCGCCACCCCCGTGTCCGTGGTCACTGTGATGCTCGTGAACTATGACTTCTTTTGATGAATGATGCTCTTCCGGTATGTGTACTCGAATATGAACGCTGCAACAAAAAAAACATATATGAACTACGACTTTGCACATAAATCATTCGCTTTAGCGTTGAATTACAATAAAAAATAATTGAATTCATAAACAATAATGTGAAATGATACATCGCAAAGCCAGCAGGTCAGGTAAGACACATGTGAAAACTATAAAAGTAATACATATACAATAGGTTGATTCTTTTCATTTACGGCTAGGAAGAGCCGTGAGAAACAGTTATAGAAATCTCAACCAAATTGCCCCATCTCCATAGTTTTTGCGTTATCGCTTGTAATTTTATATTTATATAAACGAGAATTACTTGCTGAAGAAGAGGCAATTTGGGAGAATAGGAACATGATGATACTAACTGTTCATGGCCAAAAGTCGCGGAGCAGATGCCTACGCTAGCCAGTAGGAAACAGGTCAGCTGAAATAATAACACATGGCTTTTAGTGCTTAAAAATTATTTCTACATATTTGTATATTTATAATGCTCACGTTTCACTGTACACACATAATATGATTTTGTTACAATTTCTATGAAACGATTAGGTTCCCAACAACATGAAAAGCGATCGTTGAAGCCCAGCTGACAGATTTTGACAAATATGTATGACTACCGTACGACTACCATGGTAATTAATATACGACTTTGGACGTAAATGTTAACTTTTTCGAAATAACGTACATCACTATAATGGTCAAATATGTTATAAAATATTATATATTTAGAAAGAATTATGAACATAATAATTTATTATGGTATAAAGTATATAAGATTATAAGGAGCAGAAAGCTTAGTTCTAATTTTGTTAGAATTATTCTAGTAAAACTTTCTGCTCCTTGTAATTTTAGTCAAGTTATAATTTATTTCGAATTCTGTATAAAAAAAAGCATTTAGTTTACAACAAAATGTTAAAGTATCACGTTCTTTGTTATGTTGGGCATTAAAATAAAAGAATTTAATAAAAAATACCAAACAAAAATTAAAAAAAGCGTGTGCAAAACCATGTTCATTAAAACTAATTCAGTAGATATTTTAAATTGTCTCAATCGGTTAAATACTTGATTATACGTTGTCACAAGCATCACTGCTTTTGTGAGCTTTTGACCATTACGCCCACGTCAAAGTAATATTTGTTATCACATAATCCGGAACTAATTTACTATCACGTAATGTTACTCACGGCCAAACGGAAAGCCATTATGTGTGGCAGCGACTGGCTCCTTAGAACGGCACAAGCGCTGACAAGATGAACGCAAGTGTTGTGACGCGGTTGCAGTCGCATGGTCTTTTATATGACAGTGAATGTACAGCAACCCCTACTCGCGACGCTAAATCGTATCGAAAATTAACATTTCTGTAATTAAATAAAATTATCTTGGAATGGGGCTGACAGCAACATTTCCTCAGATAAACAAATCGGTATCGAATAGCATTGATTATTTTTTGTGTAATTTAATAATTGTTTAATGTTAATCCACTGTTACCTGCGAGCATATAACACAAATAACAAAATAACAAAAACTGCAGGTAATGGAATTCTTCATTTATAAAAAAAACGCGCCATTGACAATAAATAAATTTGTTTTTAAGCATCTTAAGCTAGAATTTAAAACCAATCGGTATGAGCCTAGCTCTGTCTCTTAAATAAAATATTAATGTTAATATATTTTTATAATGTAATTGTTGATTTTATAATTAAAACAGTATTAACTTACTTGGCGTTATAAGACATTACATCATTGAACTATAACCATCGTTGCAACTTCCTGTTGTCTATCATTAATCTCTTAACTTCAGGTTTTTCTCAATGTAATTTCCTCAAGTAATAATCACACAGAAATTTAATAGCCAGTGATTTTAAACAATACAGTAAGCAACAAAATGAAATACCAAAACTAATTTAATTTTACATACATTAAAATCTTTTTTTTTTCTTCATTTATTCCTTATTTTATAGTCTCGTTTTTTATTAAATTTTAGCATCTTTGAATTTACAATAAAATATCACGATGTTCGTATACAAATAGTGTTACTTTCGGGAAGTTATAATAATGAATTCAGGTGGACAAATAGCCATTGTTAAACCTTGAAACAATATAAATGCAATTTTAACATCAATACAATTTCTGTAACAACTTAGTCCGGGCCTACTTAGAGACCTCAGACAAGGGCCCAGAAAAGGGCCAAGAAAAGGGTCGAGATCATAGAGGCTAATAATTGAGAGACGGTGGATCGGCATAATTACACACTAAGCCAATTTGTTTTTTTAATAGATATACGATTTTTATGGAAAAATTATAATAGAGAAATACGTTTATGCCTATTCAAATTTGGCCGCAAATATTTTTAATTAAAATATATTTACTTAATTATTTTTCTTTTCGAAAAATTTTATTCACTTTTTTTACTTATTACAAGCAAGTAAGTGCTTAACTACAATCTCATCTGATGATAAGTGGTGATGAAGCCCTAGATAGAAAATCGCACTGTCATAGTGTAAAACGTATTTCTCTGTTAACATTTTATCATAAAACATTTCAATCTTATTTATAAAAATTGACATCAATTAGAAATGCTTAAAGTTGCTCTTTCCCTTTCCAGTAAATGACAATAGAAAGAGACATGTATAGAGATAATTAAAAAGCAGTGGCAGGGGCTAAACGCTCGCTGTAAATTTCACTGTGCGCTAGGAAACTGAGTACAACCTCCCAACCCGGGAATCCAATCCCCGCCGGTACCAATCACATTGTTAATTGCAATTATAATTGCTGATTTACCACTTTCGTGTAGGAAACATTGCGAAGAGGGCTGAGAAAAAAAAATATATCTCGTAAATAAGTGAATTTCGGAACAGAGCAGCGGACATTTCCTTGGACTAAAACCCCTTCAGAAATAAGAAGAGAATTGTGCCTAGCAGTGAGAAGTATAGTTATAGACTGTAATTATTTTTGTGGTATACTAATTTTGTAGTATAGTTGATGAAATGGCGATTGCCCTATTCTAAAAATTTGAAGTCTGTAGTCATGAGATAATAAATCTGGTATCGGACTTTTACAATATCAACAGTTTAATTTGGGATGTTCTATTTTCTTACGCCTCCACATATTTTTCTTGCGGCGATCAAATTCGGATTACTTCCATGCTATTTTTTTTTAAGAAATGGATGCCGAGGCTCATAGACAGGTGTGTATGAGCCTCGGCATCCATTTCTTGTTGTTCTTGTTCATCCACGTCTATCATTGATTAAGAATTAAATTACAGTAAATGCCTCAATACTAGAAGTTTTACGTGGTAGAACTACGCTGCAGTTATGTTATGGTTGTAGCATGACATGATGTTATGATGGGTCGAATCGACCGGTGTAGGATTATGCTCTCACAGAATACCAACGTAAACTCACAGAATATCACTATCAGACAAATTTTAGCAAGGATTGAAGTTTAAACTCATAAGTTGGGACACCTCCCGAAGGTATATTTACTTTTTTTATTTCAGTCATGACGATTCCTGGAGGTGTGTGACATAAGACAGATTTTTGTATTTTTTCCTTGTCATTTTTCTAATGCTGCCCTGTTTTTTCAATTGTTTTTAAAACATAGGTGCTTATTAGCCGGTAGCCTACGCCAGCTCAGTGTAAGTTCGACTTAAGTATGATAGTTGTAGATTCTGGTTGGTGGTTCTATTCTATTCTATTTAACTTTTATTTTTAAATATCCATTTTGTCGAGGGCTGCATGAGGTGGTCGTAGGTCCGGCGAGCCGTCCCTCTGAATCCGCACCACCTTTCGCGGCACCTCTTAAAGGTGGATATTTTGGTCGACATTTAGATTTTTCATAAGAGGAGTGACTTGTAGCGAATAAAGAGATGGCAACATAAATCGAGTAAATAAGCCAAGAAATTTTAATTAAGTAATAATACAGTAGGATCGGCTTGATTTAACACATGACGTATTTGATTTTAAACATTTTGTAATACTTCTTCATTTTCTTTGTCATCAAATCATTATGTTGTATCCACTGTTAGATACTGGCCCTATAAGGGGACAAGGATTTTTTTTTGTTATTTGTTAAGTTACCCTTTCTCGGCACATGCGATTTAGACATACCAGACGTTTTTCTCGATAATTCTCGTTGTTCTGTGTTACTTGAAAATCAGGCAAAAGTCTTATGTCACCTACGGTCAGCGGGTAATAGTAAAATTATGTAGATATATTAGAGCCGTGGTGGGTCAGGAGCTAAGGACTAGCCGTTACTAATGTGGTAGAGCCATGCTGCAGTTATATAATAATATAAAAGCCATAAACCACATGTTGCAGCACAAAACGGATCGCCACAGTCGGGAAAGAACTAGGTTCTCAATGAATACCGGCGTAAAATAGCAGCTTGTAACTGCTGTGTTACGTTTTTTTTATGAAATAAGGGTGACAAACTAGCACACAGTCCACCTGATGTTAAGTAGATACTGTGGCCCACAGACATCTTCATCTATCATCGGTTAGGAATGAAAATGCAGATGCATTGTCACCCCGAGGACTAATACGGAATGTCTCCTTTCCAGCAAAAGGAGTCTGCGGTTCTCTACACTTACCATATGAAACATAGCAATATTTAAGCTGCCATTTCACATATTATGTGTGAGCGGTACTTCCCCGGTCGAGCTGACCCGTTTATATTACAATCGTAATACAGCCAGCATGACTCGAGCATGTAGATAGAGACGATAGAGACATACGGTGAGTGTAGAGAACCGGAGATCCTTTTTACTATTTTTACAGAATATGCGTGACAGACGAGCACACAGTCCACCTGATGCTAAGTGGATACTGTGGTCCATGGATAATTTTAACATAAATATTCAATTAAAACTCAAAATGCAGATATGTTGTCACGCCTGAAGAATGAGGTGGAATGCCTCGTTTTCAGTAAAAAGGGTCTCCAGTTCTTTACGCTCATCATATAAAACACAGCAGTGTTATCCTGCTAGTTTACGCTGGTATTCTGTGAGAGCGTGGTCCTTCCCCGGTCGAGGCGACCCATACGTGCTACAACTATACTACTAATATAGCTGCAGCATGGCTCTACCACATTTAAAAATCAGTTACAGCCTATTATAAGTCCACATCTACAAGTAATGACATTATGTACATGGTATGCTAATGTTTTAGAATCCTTATGATATAGACAAACTTTTTAAATGGTTGGCCACACAGATCCTATACGTTTTTTTTTTTCACCACATGTGCTCAAAGTTAGCAGTTAAATAAGGTAAAAAATTTAAACTTATGTTTAGTGCCGTCTTGTAAAATACTACGAGTACCCATAGTAGTTGAAAACTTTTAAGGGTAATTTAGAAACATCATTATTAGGGAACACATTGAAAGAAAAAAATCCGATCTAAGCATTAAACTGCGGACATGATGACCACAAATGTGAGCGGAATTTTATAAAACATGGCGTAGACCGCGAACCGTTCGGAATAGAATTTTTTTTAGGGAACTGAGGCCACCTCCTCCCTGCCCGAACACGTACGTACAAGATTATCCACCATTACTGGGACAACCTGTATACATAGACATTTTCTATAGGTTGCCGCATATTGAGGACACATGCCAAAGTCATCATACTTGGCAGACAGATTATGCAACTGCAGTTTTTTTATTATTTTAAGCAGTTATCAGGAAGATGATGTTGCCCATCTCCTGTTCCACCTTTGATGCCTCCTACGACACCCACGGATTGAAATGGGCACACATTTCACCTGGTAGTAAAAGGATGCTATGGCCCAAAGACTATATACATCTTCGATTAATAATCAAAATGCAGGTGCGTTACAACCCCTGATTACTGAGATGGAATGTTTCCTCGCTACCAGTAAAAAAGGTCTCCGGTTGTCTACACTCACTATTTTAGTTATTGGACATTGGTTTCCAAGTATATTCTAACGAGCATGTATTTACTCTTAGTTTGTACCTGTCTATGCAGTGAGAGTAACATATCTGATAAAATGCCTTCAGTTTAACCACTTATTCTACTTTCTCAACTCTCGGAAAGATTTGGTAAAATGTTGATTACAGTACCAGAAGTTTTGACTTGGCCCCTCTGGGTAATGATTATGTCATAATTTTTAAAGGTTTAATAAAATACGATCTCGATAAAGATAATACGATCTCTGAAGCATTTACTACAGCCAACTTCCGCA